TGACAATTTTGAGGGCCTTCCTCTGACACCGCCTGGTATAGAGGTCCTGGATGGCAGGAAGCTTGGCCCCAGTGATGTACTGGGCCGTACGCACTACCCTCTGTAGTGCCTTGCGGTCGGAGGCCAAGCAGTTGCCATACCAGGCGGTGATGCAACCAGTCAGGATGCTCTCGATGGTGCAGCTGTAGAATTCTTTGAGGATCTGAGGACCCATGCCAAATCTTTTCAGTCTCCTGAGGGGGAATAGGCTTTGTCGTGCCCTCTTCACGACTGTCTTGGTGTGTTTGGACCATGATAGTTCGTTGGTGATGTGGACACCAAGGAACATGAAGCTCTCAACCTGTTCCACTACAGCCCCGTCGATGAGAATGGGGGCGTGCTCAGTCCTCTTTTTTTTCCTGTAGTCCACAATCATCTCCTTTGTCTTGGTCACGTTGAGGGAGAGGTTGTTGTCCTGGCACCACACGGCCAGGTCTCTGACCTCCTCCCTATAGGCTGTCTCATTGTTGTCGGTGATCAGGCCTACCACTGTTGTGTCGTCGGCAAACTTAATGATGGTGTTGGAGTCGTGCCTGGCCATGCAGTCATGGGTGAACAGAGAGTACAGGAGGGGACTGAGCACGCACCCCTGAGGGGCCCCCGTGTTGAGGATCAGTGTGGCAGATGTGTTGTTACCTACCCTTACCACCTGGGGGCGGCCCGTCAGGAAGTCCAGGATCCAGTTGCAGAGGGAGGTGTTTAGTCCCAGGATCCTTAGTTTAGTGATGAGCTTAGAGGGCACTATGGTGTTGAATGCTGAGCTGTAGTCAATGAATAGCATTCTCACGTAGGTGTTCCTCTTGTCCAGGTGGGAAAGGGCAGTGTGGAGTGCAATAGAGATTGCATCATCTGTGGATCTGTTGGGGCGGTATGCAAATTGGAGTGGGTCTAGGGTTTCTGGGATAATGCTGTTGATGTGTATCTATGTATCTATGTATGTATGTATATATGTGTGTGTGTATATATATATAAATATATATATATAATGTATGTATATATATATATAATGTACAGTGGGGAGAACAAGTATTTGATTCACTGCTGATTTTGCAGGTTGTCCTACTTACAAAGAATGTAGAGGTCTGTCATTTTTATCATAGGTACACTTCAACTGTGAGAGACGGAATCTAAAACAAAAATCCAGAAAATCACATTGTATGATTTTTAAGTAATTAATTTCATTCCGCCCAAGAAGAGGCAAACAAGATAAAAACCCACGCCAAACTTAAAGATCAGACAAAGGAATGTTTGTCTAGAAATCAAACAGGGAGCGCCAATTTAAGGTGTTGCGATAGCCACTCTTAAATAGCACCTGGGCCAGCACAGGTGAAATATCTTCCCACTAACGAGATGGCAACCAGCACAGGTGTAACACATACTGACTAATGAGGTGACACCAATCGGTGCGCCCTACTTGCTAAAGTCCAACCTTTAAAACATAAATGGAAAAACCCCAAACCCGTAACAATTACGATACAGGTGGAAGATGTATGAGTGCCATTCCCATGAGCGTACCATCCTCCTTCAGGCCATGGATCAGGCATGCAATGACCTCAATCCAGATCTATGTCAGGCGTGGATTCGCCATGCCAAAAGGCTTTTCTCCAGGTGCATGAACAATGAGGACCTGTGGATGAGAACCTATGGCCAAAAGCTCAAGACAGACTTCATGCAAACTAGTGCCTGCTAAACGTTGTTTCTTTAATTTCTTTAATTTGTTTTGTGTATCTACCATTTTTTTCTATTGGATTAATTGGTTGTTGAAATAACAACACTGAAAAAAAAAGTGTTGGTCCCATGTTTCATGAGCTGAAATAAATGTTCTTTATGCACAAAAAGCTTATTTCTCTCAAATTTTAGGCACACATTTGTTTACATCCCTGTTAGTGAGTGTTTCTCCTTTACCAAGATAATCCATCCACCTGACAGGTGTGGCATATCAAGAAGCTGATTAAACAGCATGATCAATACACAGGTGCACCTTGTGCCGGGAATAATAAAAGGACACTTTAAAATGTGCAGTTTTGTCACACGTCACAATGCCACAGATGTCTCAAGTTCTGTTTTGTTTTTGTGGTGAAAGATGTCTTCAAACAACATTAATGCACAATAAAATGTGAATATGAGACTTGCTACATTACAAGTGTAACCAGTTTGGAGTTTTGCACCAAGAGTTTTGAAAATTCACCACATACTTGTGAAAATAGCACTAAAGCAATTGAAAGAACTGTACTAATATAGTAGCCTACAGTATATCTGTAGAAAAACTCTATTTTTGTCCCTTCCCCCAAATGACAAACTGACAGTACTCTGTTATTGAGAATGTTTTATTTAACGTCCCTCTTATGGTGGAATTGTCATCTAATTGAGTAACTATAATGAGTTATATGATTAGGCTACAATCATAAGAAAGAAATAACAAAGTTTGTAAAATGATAAATGTTAGTACTCTATTAAGCTTTTAAACATACTTTACCACCTAGCCCCTTCAAACCTTTTATTTTAAAATACTGTGATGAGACAACTTTACACATCTAAACACAATGTTGTTGTTTTTTAATTCCTTTTGAGACCAAAACAAAAATTATACTGAATGTCAATCTGAAGATCTGATTATAAAGTGCTCATATTGGACTGAGGGATCTTTTACAACAACAGCTTACCATTATAAACACACTCAAAACAATACCAACATTACAATCTCACCTTAAGTGTGTTTCAGCCAAACTTAAACAGACCTCTCTACCGATCACCATATTGGTGAGGTTAATAAGAGATGTTTTCACTCAACCTTTAAATAGAAAGACTAGCTGCATCATGACAAAACAAACAGTAAATTAAACATAAATACAAAATTACAGTAAATTAACAATGGCTGCAACATACTACAGAATGCATAGAAGACCACCACATTCCCGGAAAACACACCACACAATGTTGTCTCAACATTGACTCCAAGTTGTGAGCCTCAATGTGCCATTTCTACTTTGTAATAACACTTTGTCACTCTGACTTTTATAGCTGAGGAGGCACCACCAGATCTGCCTTCAAATACTATTTCAGGTATTTCAATTACTTTTCAAGACATTTCAAAACAATTATTTATATATGACATGTTTAGGTCTTATTTCACTTTTTAATCACAATATGCAACCCATACTTTACATTGGTGTCTCATGAAAGAGGACAAGATGCCATGTTACTTTTTTTTAAACCATAATGGTTTCAAAAAGCCTGTCGGACATTGAGCAGCGATCTGGTCTGAAGATACGCCCTCCAATGCTAAAAAGCCACTCCACAGCTGCGGAGGATGCTGGGACATGTAAGTACTCAGCAGCAACTCTGCTCAGTGTTGGGTATGTGTGACTGCATTTTCAGAGGATCAGTAGTTGGTGGAAGATATGGGGTGATTAGGTCATCCTCAATTTCTTTTTTGTTTTTGGTAACATTTCATCAGCCCCATCCCTCAAGGGTTTAACAAAACAGTGTTGGGGTGATTGCCACTTTAAAGTCACATTGAGCAATTCATTGATCGATTTACTTAGAACATATATTCATAGAATTGTATATAAGCATCTGGCTTTTGCTAAACTTTTAGAGCAGAGTATTTGAGGGTATTTGAAATATGTTGGGTGAAAAGGGTTTCAAATAGTGTTCCAGAAAAGTATTTGAAAATACTTTCAAATACAATTTGGTAGACTTTGTAAATGTTTTAATTTTAATAAACATTCAAATACACATATAAAAGTAATTTAAAAATACTCAAATACAAAACAAAAATTATTTTTTATAACAGATACAAATGTATTTGAACCCAGGTCTTGAAACCACACAGATGTACAATTGTCTGCTACCTCCAAGGTATCGAACGCAATATCATATCACTGTAAAGAAAGAGAAAGACATACACTCATACGGTACCAGTGACACAATGTCATTCAACATCTGGGCAAATGAACGGCTGGTCTTTGCAGGGATTGAGTTGCCAGCAGTCGTTGTATTATGTCACAAACATAATCATTTTTAATTTTTGGGTGCCCATAGGGGAATCTACATTTTTGGTACTCTGACTGAGTAAAGGACACAGTTTGCCTTACTTTATCAATCACCTCCTGTACATATATTGACAGACTAGAAGGCTTCAGGAGTAAACAAAATCCATATATTGAAAGGACTAATTTGAGTTGAGTCAAGACAGCATGTCAGTGAATAGACTTGGTTCTCAGTGAGAGAAAGGAAAGCCTTATCAGACAATGAGGTGAACTTATAGGCTAGAACCTACTGTCTGAGAAGGTTTCCACCAACAGCTGGAAGGCTACACAGATCCAGGCCTCTGATTATAATTGGCACGCCGCTGGCCTAGCCCTTTCAGATATTCTCTTAATTCTCTCTACTTTCATTGTAACAGGTCACACACGCATGCTGCTCAAAGCCACTCTTGTGGCATCATTGTCTTTGGAAATGTCATGTAAAAGACAAGGCTGTCTTCTGTGAAGTGATTGGGTTGGCTTTAAAAACCCCTGCGTAACACTTAGGAGAACTCAGGCTGCTGTCAGACGCAAAGTTAACTATACATACAAGCAGCTGGGACAACCCAAATAAACTGTAGGAAACTCAATTCATTCAACTCAATTTCACTCAAGAGAATGAGAGAAATCCTAACATTCCACAGCTTTCCCTCCAAAAGCACAACAATACTGTAGTTCTAACATTGTCTGCATTATTTTGACATAATTCTTAGAAACATGATCAGATCAGCAAAAGGTTAAAAAACCTTGGAGGCTTCGACACAACACCACAAAATGGTCAACGTTTGGAGGGGATTAAGAATGTGTTTGGACAGGGGTTACAGTACGAGCAGATTAAGGTTCAGAGTCCTTATTCTAATTTACGGCAGGTAGAGTGTCTTTAATAACGCCTAAGTCCATCAATCTATGGTTTCTCGTAGTATCTGTTCCCTCTCATTTGTTCTCCTCTGTCGTGGCTCTAATCTTCATCTCAGTGAATTTGAGGGAGTACTGCCAGCCCGTCCAGGAGGACCACTCGATGCCGTCGGCGTAGGAGGTGTGCTGCCCACGCAGGTACTGTCCGTTCAGGTTGGACGTGTGGCAGTTGCGGTACCACCAGGCGCCGTGGTAGAAGGAGGCACAGTTGTTCTCTGAGTGGTCGTTATCTTGGTCCTTGGTGGTGAATTTCATCCCGTTGTGTTTGAGCATTGAGTCGCCTTACAAAGACAGACAGAAGGAGGGGTGGGTGAAGCAACAGGGAGGAGAGAGAGAGAGCGAAATAGAGAGAGGGTGGGGAATGAGAGAGGTAGCCAGCATTTTAGCACTTTGATAGGATCATGATGACATGTATGGTGGTATATGTGTGAGAGGTTTAAAAAGAAAGACCATTACTGCAGGGTGGAATATAACATTATACTGTTAATATAACATTATACTGAAAACCACAGGGACGGGCAAGTAAATGACTTTGCTACTGCCAGGTTCTGTGTTAGTGTGAGTGAATGAGTTAGTGAGTGAGAGTGAGAGAGAGAGAGAGAGAGAAATCACTGTCTAAATGTGTTGACATGATAGCTCAGCTGACTTGAATACAGCTTGTTTCCAAAGCTAAGCAGAGTACATAGAGGTAGCTCTGGATGGTATACTTGTTCTCACTGAAGATTATTACCCATTATATCCCACGGGGGGCCAGTATGAAAAATGTATGCACTCACTAATTGTAAGTCGCTCTGGATAAGAGCGTCTGCTAAATGACAAAAAAAGTAATATATACCAGTAAGAGTCAACGTTCAGGCCGGAATTGTTGGACTGTGGCTTCGCATTTTATTTCAATATACCTCTTTATTTAGGTTGATGGCATGACGTTGAAACAATGACGTTGATTCAAACATACCATTTTACTATCAACATTGAAACAAGGTCAAATAAAATATGTCTAATCAATGTGTGTATGTACAAAATGTCTAAGTGGAATTTTCAATGCAATTTCAACGTATATATAGTTCTGATGATTATGTTGAAATTAGATTGATGTAACAACCTGTTAGTCAAGTTAAGTCAATGTATTTAAGTTTAACCCTAATTTCAATGTTTACAACGTTGGTTGAAATGAGATTAAATCAGTACTGGTTGATTACTTTTTTCAAATACAATGTATTTTCCACTATGATTCCACGTCACAATACATTGACAAATTACATTGAAACAATGTTTATTCAACCAGTGTGTGCCCAGTGGGATATGTGTGGGTGGTGTTTGTGTGTGTGCATGCTTGCATATGTCTCTGTGTGTGTGTGCAGATCAGAGGAAGAATGGTGGAGAGGCTGTAGGCTGTGGTGGTGGCCTTATTAAACCGTATGATGTATGTCTCAGGGATGTAATGTAGTAGCCAGTGGCGCGTTTAATCAAATCCCCTCTGTGCAGCACAAAGCTCTACTCTGGAGGTGCTAATTCTGCTGTGGCTGGACCAGGCAGCTCTTAGCGACAGCTGCTTATTGCCCACATAGCACTAATTCAATTTATTTGTATTGATATCCACTGTAGTTTGAGTGGTTAGATCGGGAATTTAGCCAGGACACTGGGTTAAAGGGACATTTAAGAAATGTTCTACGTCATAGTCATAATCTCCAGCACCACCCCAACATCTACACAAAGTATGTGAAAATGGTGCTTTCCTATGTTTTTTTTGTAAAAAAGATAGAGGAAGAAAAGTGTTTCCAATGACATCATCGGTGTGCATCATGTGATTTTAACCAATTATGAGTAGGCATTGCCTACTAATTGCCTACTAAATGTCTACTAATTGGTTGATGGTGTCATTGGAAACACTTATCTTCCTCTATCTTTTTTACAAGAAAACATAGAAACGCACCATTTTCACATATGTTCATGTTGGGTTGGTGCTGGACATTTTTGAACTTTCAGTTTAACTCAAAAAATGACATGGGGTTATTACAGACCACATGATTTGTTTTGTTCTTGAAGGTGATGAAAGAGTATGGTGATGATAATAGTAAAATCATGCAGTACACAAAGGGCAGTGTCAGTTTATTAGGGCAGTGTAGAACTATATCAGTCTGCCTCTCTTCCTATGGAAAAAGTACCCCAGAGTATTGTAGGCCCAACTATTGTACATCTATTCTATGCTGACTTTAACTGCTTCAACACGCTCATGGATTACCAATAAAAAGGTTGGCAACCTTTTAAATATAGAATTATTGTAAACATAGTGGCAGGATATGATAATGACACACTGCATTGATGATTAAACCTCAAACTCCTTAAGACGCCGTTTAAATGGATGCCTACTGTACCATTATAACAATTGTAATGCAATTTAATGTAACATTGGACACATTTTAATCAAATATCCTGGGAGAAACCTACAACGAGAGCAGTGAAAGTATTTAAACATGCACCAGAATTCATATTCATATTCATAGTGAATACATTAAAAACATCAGAGGGAAATTATGAGCTCCTCTACAAGCATTGTACCAAACATATTCAACACTCCTGTGGCCCTAGTAATGATACGGTTAAAACACTATGGTTAGGTAACAAACTGTCATTAAAGAGTTTCTTTCAAGTTCTGAGAGTAATCACTTAAGGTGTTTACCATGACTAGGACACCCAGGCAGTGAAAAGCTAGTGCGCCTCATCATCACAGGTAACTGCACGTTCACCCTATTTCTCTGTCGGTAAAGTGCTCATTTCATGTTTATATATGATTAACAATTCTGTAGGATATAACCAACATGTTTGTTGTTGAGGGTAATGGTTAAATAATCTTTAATGGGATTGAAAACTAATTATCAAAGAACAAAGGGCAGCGACAGTTTTCTGTGTGAACAGAAGGAGAACAAACGGGTAAAAATAATTACAAGTACTGTCTTAGTCAATATGTGAACATATCCTTTGTCATTGGTTTTGACAGTCAAATCTCATACTGTTCCTCCCAAATGTCACTTAATTGAAACCAACTATATGAAGAACAAATAATTTAAATCCAGGTATTGAAAGCAAACTCAGGACTGTGCTGAAGTCAAAACAGTGCTGCTGCAGCGTCAACTTTTATTAATGGTCCAATGCTGCCGTTTCTATCTCAATATCAAATCATTTCTGGGTAACAATTAAGTACCTTACTGTGATTGTTTTCAATTAAAATGGTAAAAAATAAGAAAATAAATACACTATATTTACAAAGGTCTGTGGACACCCCTTCAAATAAGTGGATTCGGCTAATATAGACAAACATTGGCAGTAGAATGGCCTTACTGAAGAGCTCAGTGACTTTCAACGCGGCACCGTCATAGGATGCCACCTTTCCAACAATTCAGTTCGTCAAATTTCTGCCATGCTAGAGCTGCCCCGGTCAAATTCTGAAGTGAAAACATCTAGGAGAAACAACGGCTCAGCCGCGAAGTGGTAGGCCACACAAGCTCACAGAACGGGACTACTGAGTGCTGAAGCGCGTAGCGCGTAAAAATCTTCATTACCGAGTTCCAAACTGCCTCTGGAAGCAACGTCAGCACAATAACTGTTAGTCGGGAGCTTCATGAAATGGGTTTCCGTGGCTGAGCAGCCGCACACAAGCCTAAGATCACAATGCGCAATGCCAAGCGTCGGCTGGAGTGGTGTAAAGCTTGCCATCATTGGACTCTGGAGCAGCGGAAACGTGTTCTCTGGAGTGATGAATCACACTTCACCATCTGGCAGTCCGACACACAAATCTGGTTTTGGCGGATGCCAGGTGAACGCTACCTGCCTGAATGCATAGTGCCAACTGTAAAGTTTGGTGGAGGAGGAATAATAGTCTGGGGTTGTTTTTCATGGTTCGGGCTAGGCTCCTTAGTTCCAGTGAAGGGAAATCTTAACGCTACAGCATACAATGACATTATAGACTATTCTGTGCTTCCAACTTTGTGGCAACAGTTTGGGGAAGGCCCTTTCCTGTTTCAGCATGACAATGCCCCCATGCACAAAGCGAGGTCCGTACAAAAAGGTTTTGTTGAGATCGGTGTGGAAGAACTTGATTGGCCTGCACAGAGCCCTGACCTTAACCCCATCGAACACCTTTGGGATGAATTGGAACGCCGACTGCGAGTCAGGCCTAATCGGCCAACATCAGTGCCCGACCTCATTAAATGCTCTTGTGGCTGAATGCAAGCAAGTCCCTGCAGTAATGTTCCAACATCTAGTGAAAAGCCTTCCCAGAAGAGTGGAGGCTGTTATAGCAGCAAAGGGGAGGACCAACTCCATATTAACGCCCATGATTTTGGAATGAGATGTTTGACGAGCAGGTGTCCACATACTTTTGGTAATGTAGTGTAGCTTCTTAGCGAAGAGCAATTTCTCAAGCAAGAACTTTGCTAGAACTGTCTGGGAGGGGTCTGAGTGGGGAGGGGAAAACTAGTTATTATTGGCTGAGAGGTTTGGAATTCTCTTTCTTATTGGTATATTAACTAACAGGCCAAAACTCCATCCCAACAAAAAAAGGCTGACATTTCAGGAAGTATTTTCAAACAGCTCTTACACTAAAAGGGTATTATCACAATTTTCAAAATGTCATAGTACTATTCCAAGCTCATAGGGTGGAAATATAAACTGAGTGTACAAACATTAAGGACACCTTCCTAATATTGAGTTGCGCATTTGTAGGGGCATGGACTCTATAAGGTGTCGAAAGCGTTCCACACGGATGCTGGTCCATGTTGACTCCAATGCTTCCCACAGTTGTGTCAACTGGCTGGATGTCCTTTGGGTGGTGGAACATTCTTGATACACATGGGAAACTGTTGTGCATGAAAAAAACAGCAGCGTTGCAGTTCTTGCCACAAACCGGTACGCCTGGCACATACCCGTTCAAAGGCAGTTAAATGTTGTGTCTTGCCCATTCACCCTCGGAATGGCACACATACACAATCCATGTCTCAATTGTCTCAAGGCTTAAAAATCCTTTAATATTTATCCTCCCCCTCATCTATGCTGATTTAATTGGATTTAACAAGTGACATCAATAAGGGATCATAGCGTTCACCTGTATTCACCTGGTCAGTCTATGTCATGGAAAGAGCAGGTGTCATTCATGTTTTGTATACTCACGATTTTGACTGCACTGGGCCTTTAAACAAACGTCTTATTTTTTTAATACTAGAGCCTCAATTCATCTGAACGAAAACAAGAGAGGATGAAAAATCAACATTAATTAATAAGATTGGGAATCAATGTTGCATGACTCCCTGGCAGCATACGTTTAAAGACAACCTCACTAATTAAACGCGAGTGGAAGCGGTATTCTCCTCCTGCTTTATGATAATCAGACAGTTTGTTTATGTCAGGCTGTAATAACCTAATGGCCTGCTTTATTTGCCGTGGCCACGGAGGCATCCTACAGCTTCATTATCCCTGCCCTTTCCAGCAGCCCCGGAAGGTCACGATTCTGAGGAGGGGGGAACCTGGGACTAACGGAGTGGATGGACCTAATTAATGTCCAAAAGAGCCCCCCGCGACAGAAGAGCTGAACCGTGGAGAATCACACACACACACACACACACACACACACACACACACACACACACACACACTCTGCCTGGATGCTGCTGTTCATAATCTACAGCTGATGTAGAACAAACAACAGCCAGAGAAAGACTCTCGTACTGGTGGACAGATGTCTGAATTTGATTTTCCTGATGTTTGGAAATTGTATTTCTTCCCTGAGATGGGGGCATTGACCAATAGGAAGATCAGTAGGACCAATAGGATTGTTTTACAGAAGGTTCCCCCTTTAGACGAACTACAATTTATAAATGCTTTAAGGGGCATTTATAAAGTCTATGAAACAAATGGGTACGAGCCACACTAAAAGGCTACAGTACAGTCGGGTATTGCAGTACCTGCAGTGCCTGAGTAATCAGCAATAGTCAGCTGGTATCCATCCTCATCCGGGTCAACGGAGAACAGTCCCACTCCAAAGACTCCATACTGGGCGAAGGCTGTGCTGTTCTCAAAGTCCTGCAGGTCAATGCGCAGCTCGTAGTTGGCTTGGATGGTCAGGGCATGCATCCTCTTCAAACCTGAGACGAAACACAGAGGAGAGGCTCGTCATGATCTGACCTGAACAGCTGTGAAAAACATTATTACTCTGCCCTTTTTAAAGTTATGCCCCCTCCGTTCTAGACTTTTCATAAATAAGTCTATATAACACGCTGTCGGTGTTAGAATCTTAATATCACAAACAGAACTGGAGTTATAACCAGTTTTAGGAGGGCATGTCATTTTTTTAATGGTTTCCCCCATTGCCCCTCCTTCTCCTGACAGTTGAATGAGCAGTGCCCAGCTGATAATCACCCCGATAACTGCCTAGAAATTGAACCTAAACGAGTTGATGAGCGAGGGGAAGCGAGCGATGCATGATTCTGTAATCACCAATTGTTGATGAAGAACAGGGTGGGCCGTTCTATTGTATTGATCTGTTCTAATTATCATCTCAAAACGGTATGGACTCTATATCAGTGCACCGAATCCAACCAGTCTTATCAGTCTGATCTTGCCTACTTGAAGTAGGCTACACAGTGAGAGTGTGTGTAATTGTAAATGCTGAACGGCTTTCAATATCTGGGAAAAGATCCACATCGGGCAGCAGCGGAGCAAGTGTCAGAGAATGTGGTGATGAGTCTCGTGGAATCTTACGTTGGCAAGGGGAGAAATGTCACCATGGACAATTTCTTCACTTCACTGTCATTGGCGAACAAGTTGCTTGCAAATAAAACAAGCCTAGTCGGCACCACTGCCTCCCGAGTGGCGCAGTGGTCTAAGGCACTGCATCGCAGTGCTAGCTGTGCCACTAGAGATCCTGGTTCGAATCCAGGCTCTGCTGTAGCCGGCCGCAACCGGGAGACCAATGGGGCGGCACACAATTGGCCCAGCGTAGGGGAGGGAATGGCCGGCAGGGAGGTAGCTCAGTTGGTAGAGCATGGTGTTTGCAACGCCAGGGTTGTGGGTTCGATTCCCACGGGGGGCCAGTATGAAAAAATTAAATAAATAAATAAATAAAAAAAGAATAATGTAAGTCGCTCTGGATAAGAGCGTCTGCTAAATGACGTAAAATGTAAAAAATTTAAAATGAACAAAATGAGTCGGGAGCTCCCTCCCTCTGCACAGAATAAGCCACCTCCACAACGGTGCTGAAGAATGACAAGACAATAATAAAGAGAGAACCGTAAACTATTACGCACTACAACCAAACAAAGGTATGCCAAAGTGTGTCAAGCAAGTGAAAGTTACGAAGATTTGTGTAAACTGTTAGGATAAGGGATAGCTAAAGGAAATCCAACTGCCATTGCGTGAAGACGAACACAATGTAAGCATGAGCTGACAATAATTGACTATGTTCATTATAATGCCATTATTGCTTTTGTGATGATTTTCACTATTTATCAAGGCCACTTGGTGCTTATATTCATGTTTAGTCTACTGATGTTTTCATCATTTCACCTCGCGTCTTGCTGACCGTGCGTCTTGGTGGTTGGAGTATTTATTTTATTTTGTCATTATTGAACACTTAAAAACATATATATATTTTTTACATATAGCCTACAGTAACACAAACTAATGAAAATGCTATTGTTATTTGAAATAAAATAACAATTGTATTCTAATGTTACCCAAGGCCTTCATAAACACAACCAAATTATTATTTTTGCGAGAGCATATATGAAATGTATTAATTACACTGTTAGAATTTGGCACTCAGAATGACTGCTCATTGGCTTGAAGGGGGGTCCTTAGAGGTCCAGCAGTTCTAGTGTTAAAGATGTAGAAATAGGATTGACACAATGAAGCACTTTCATAACTTTCCATCACTGAACCATTACAGTGTCCATGGCACAGTAACCAACTTTTCAGGTGTTTCGGACTAAACTTTCATAGTGTAAATTAACCATTAGTTTGTTAAATTGTGCCCCTGGGATCCCAGTCATGCTGTCAGCCATCGTGGGCAGCAGTAGTTGAAGACAAGGCATCTGACAGCCAGAGGCAAGGGTGCTGTAGAGGGGCAACACACTCTTGGATCAATAGCTCCAGGGGGACCTTATTCCAGGCAGAAAAAGAGAGGTGAGGCTTTACACCACCATTTGCCCCTATTTCTCTGCAAGTTCTGTATATGGGTGCTTGGTAGGGAACTACTGTGCTCTGCCTCATATGAATTCTCTTTGTAGGCCATAGACTGGTGTATGTGCTGTACCACCAGGACAGAAAATCAATAGGCCAGGAGTTTTTGCCGGTGCTAAGCCAAGCATACTGCGTTTCTACAACTGTTGTCGACAGTTGTGGAATACCTCGAATGGTTCCCACAAGTGAATCTCTACTGCAGGTGGCCACATTCGTTTTCACTGACTGCATCTTGTTGTTTGAAATGCTTAGCAGATGATATAGGATCGTCAGACGGACAGCCAGTGAGGACAACATTTAGGAGAAAGTCACAATTAACATTAATCACAGAATTATCCATAATGCTCTGTATGCACATTGTCCTTGCTGTGCTACGGTACGATGGTCTCAAATACCAGAAATAGCTAATGTTCTCACACAGACATCTTGGAACTCATCGCTAGCACGGTGATTGACCGATTCACTTCAGGGCTGCTGGAGGAGCGTCTAAATCGATTTTAGATTAAGTTAAACTCCAAAAGGTTCAGCACTCGAGAATAACCTTAATAGTGTGACTGGGCATGGAGAGCCACACCAAGTAATCGCTCTACACCCTAACCTGTCCCCCTCCCGGTGCAGAGACACACAGTTCAAACAGCGGGATCTGTTTGATCGGCTTCTCCCAGCAGCAGGCATTTTGCCGTAGTCCATCATCAGGCATAAACAGTGTTGTTTAATGGGTTCATTCTACTGCAAATAGATGGGCTATTTACACTGGAAGGTCATCATTACAGTTTTGACAATGGCACCCACAGATGCAACAGTGAGCCCACTCGTACACCTGTATCGATAGAATGCAAGGGCTTTTCCCTCTCACGGGGCACCATTTGTGTAGGGAATGTTCCTTTTTATAAGGGTTTGTTACGATCATATAAGAAATTAATAAATTATGAATTATGAGATACACTATACAGTACCATTCAAAAGTTTGGATACATCTACTCATTCCAGGGTTTTTCTTTATTTTTACTATTTTCTACAATGTAGAATAACAGTGAAGACATAAAAACTATGAAATAACATTTATGGAATCATGTGGTAACCCAAAAAGTGTTAAACAAATCAAAATATATTTTATATTTGAGATTCTTCTAAATAGCCACCCTTTGCCTTGATGACAGCTTTGCACACTCTTGGCATTCTCTCAACCAGCTTAACCTGGAATGCTTTTCCAACAGTCTTGAAGGAGTTCCCACATATGCTGAGCACTTGTTGGCTGCTTTTCCTTCACTCTGCGGTCCAACTCATCCCAAACCATCTCAATTGGGTTGAGGTCAGGTGATTGTGGAGGCCAGGTCATCTGATGCAGCACTCCATCACTCTCATTCTTGGTCAAATAGCCCTTACACAGCCTGGAGGTGTGTCGGGTCATTGTCCTGTTGAAAAACAAATGATAGTCCCATTAAGCGCAAACCAGATGGGATGGCGTATCGCTGCAGAATGCTGTGGTAGCCATGCTGGTTAAGTGTGCCTTGAATTCTAAATAAATCACAGACAGTGTATCTACACAAGTATGTGGACACCCCTTCAAATTAGTGGATTCGGCTATTTCAGCCACACCCGTTGCTGACAGGTGTATAAAATTTAGCACACATCCATGTAATCGCCATAGACAAACATTGGCAGTAGAATGGCCCGTACTGAAGAGCTCAGTGACTTTCAACGTGGCACCGTCACAGGATGCCACCTTTCCAACGAGTCAGTGTGTAAAAATCGTCTGTCCTCGGTTGCAAGACTCACTACCTAATTCCAAACTGCCTCTGGAAGCAACGTCAGCACAAGAACTGTTAGCCGGGAGCTTCATGAAATTGGTTTCCATGGCCAAGAAGCCGCACACAAGCCTAAGATCACCATGCACAATTGTAAGCATTGGCCTTAGTGGTGTAAAGCTTGCCACTGTTGGACTCTGGTGATGAATCACGCTTCACCATCTGGTAGTCCGATGGATGAATCTGGGTTTGGCGGATGCCAGGAGATTGCTACCTGCCCCAGATTGCTACCTGCCCCAACACATAGTGCCAACTGTAAAGTTTGGTGGAGGAGGAATAATGGTCTGGGGCTGTTTTTCATGGTTCGGGCAAGGCCCCTTAGTTCCAGTGAAGACAAATCTTAACGCTACAGCATACAATGACATTCTAGACGATTCTGTGCTTCCAACTTTGTGGCAACAATTTGGGGAAGGCCCTTTCCTGTTTCAGCATGACAATGCCTCCGTGCACAAAGCAAAGTCCATACAGAAATGGTTTGTCGAGATCGGTATGGAAGAATTTGATTGGCCTGCACTGAGCCCTGACCTCAACCCCATCGAACACCTTTGGGATGAATTGGAACACCGACTGCGAGCCAGGCCTAATCGCCCAACATCAGTGCCCGACCTCACTAATGCTCTTGTGGCTAAATGGAAGCAAGTCCCTGCAGCAATGCTCCAACATCTAGTGAAAAGCCTTCCCAGAAGACTGGAGGCTTGTTATAGCAGCAAAGGTGGGACCAACTCCATATTAATGCCCATGATTTTGGAATCAGATGTTCGACGAGCAGGTGTCCACATACCCTCGGTCATGTAGTGTATATGAGATACTTTTACGACTCTCAACTATGGCACCCACCCACAAGCTGGAGCTGTACATGTTATCATGGCATAATCCCTAATATGAAATCCTATGTACTAGTTTTGCCACTGAAAGAATATGGACTAGAGAATTTGACATATCCCAAATACATACACTGTATGTAAAGACACCCACAGATAACCCAGTGACTACAGTAAATGAACCAGCACAGCCTTCAATGTCCTCTCATAGTGAACTTGTGTGGTTGTCAGTGTTGTCGACACAAACCCTCTTTGATACCCATGC